CCACAAACACCACGGCGATTTCACCCCCTCCACCCCACAATGTTTTCCTTTTTGTGCAGGGGAGAAAATCTGAAATATTCCACCGGGGAATAAAAACACTGGAAATTAAAAACTTCTCGGGGAAAAAAAAAAATTAAAAATAAAAAAAGAGGCACAGAGGCCTGGAATAAACCTGAAAGGCTCCTTTTCTCCGCGTGCCTTGGGTTGCACACCCTGCAATTGGCTGCTTCCCTGGAATAGATTCCGTTGCTATGAGACCAAGTTTGCTTTTAACGAACCCCAGAAAATTAATGGTATTCAGCAGATAAGTCCTTAAAGTGGAACCTATTTTAAGAAATTCCTGCTAAATGGTTTACAAGTAGTCAGGAGGGAGGAGAAGGTTTCTGGAGCCTGCGCCGCCGATCCCCCCAGGCTGGTCCCAGCTGGGATCTGGTGGGGCTTTGGGGATTTTTGGGGTTGGGAATGGGAGAGGTGAGGCTGGGGTTGGTTCCCAGCCCGGTGTGTCCCTCCCAGGGTGGCACAGCCACCTCTGGGCACCATCCTGGCTGTCCCCAGCTGTCCCCATCAGCCAGAGGCTCCTTCCAGCTGCAGAAACTCGGGAATTCTCTGCCCAAACTCACCCGGGAGCCACGCAGGGACCACATCGGGGAGAGCCGTGCGTGGAGAAGGGAAAAGCTGCTCCCACAGCCCTTGGGAAGAGCCGAGGGGACAGGGAAGGGTTCCCGTGCCCATCCAGGGTGGCACCAGCCCAGGACAGGGCACGTTTCCCTCGGGATCGGGGTCTGCACCGAGGACACGCCGTGCCTGTGCCACCCCCGGCCCCGGTGCGTGTGGAACCTCCATGGGGCACAGGGCGCTGGGCACGGCTTCCTCTTTACCCCACAGCACATTTTGGGGTGTCTGGGCGCTGTCCCTGCTGTGTCCCACACCCCGAACACGCCCCAGGCCCTCCCTGCCCCAAGGAAGGCCCCAGACTGGGTGAGCCCGGGGTGTCCTGGGGTGCAGGATCAGTGCCAGGGGTGGATCCCAGGGATGGATCCCAGGGATCCAGGCCAGGGAATCTGCTCCTCTCCTGGCCACACCTGTTGATTTCCCCCCCAAATTCCTCCTGTGCTGCAGCCTTTGGGTGGAAGAGGAGGCAAAACCCCGCAGGAAAACCCAGGAGAGAGGAGGGAGGGAGGGAGAGACTGGGGCCTTGAGCTGTTTCATTCTCCCCTTTCCCATTTCTCAGCCCCAGCCTGGGAACTGCTGCTCCAAAGGCCCCACAGCGAGGGGGGAGTGCAGCTGCCCCGGTGCCACCGCCCGCGCTGCTCCTGCAGCCCACCCTGATCCTAAAAGGTTTTTAGCACATGGATTTGCCTGGATCACCTCTCTGGATCAGCACTGAGGCTCCTCCCTCGGGCTGCACCCCAAAACCCCCGGCAAAGCCTTCCTGGGATCCCCAGGAGTGACGGGGCACGGACCAACCTTTGGGGTCACCACTCGGAGCCCCCCTTATCCCAGCGCCGTCCCTGATCCCACAGGGCACCCCGCATCCCTGGAGCTGGAGAGGAGCAGGGGGACCCCAAATCCGGGGGATCCTGGAGGGCTCTGAGCCCGCAGCAGCCTGGGGTGCTCCCAAATCCCTCTCCCGAAGAACAAAGCTGCGATCTCTCCGCAGACGCAGAGGAAGCGACGAGCGGCAATGATTTATTTCCCTTCCCCGGCAGATAGATCGGCCTCGGGAACGGGGTTTGTGCTAAATTAAAATTTGCATGCTGTAATATATTTAAGCAACTTTCCTTCCACTTGGTTATAAACAGCGTTTCTCAGGGGGTTCTTTCGGAGCTGGCCCCGTTTCATTTATCTCCAGCGTGAGCCGGCGTTAATTGTCGGGGTGGAAATTAAAACCGCAGAGGAAAAAAAAAAATTAAAAATAAATTTAAAAGGAGGAAAAATTAATAAAATAAAAGCACCAGGGTTGGAGGTTGGAAGCGAAATCATCAGGCAGGCACAGGCAGCAGCTCTGGGCCTCAGTAAAAAATGAAGAAAGGCAAAATTCCGCGTTCGGCTTCCCCGGCGAGGGCAGCGGGGCCGGGGGCGCGGGGGCCCGGTGGGCAGCGAGCCCTCGGGCCTGGAGGACAGCGAGAGGGCTTTTACATTCGGTTCTCTAGCTTTATGATATCACATACACTCATACAGCTAGATAACCAAAGAGAAAAACCCGCCCAGCTCTGCAGCGAGCGCGGCCGCGGCCGCTCCCGGGTTTGTCCCCTCGGTGCCAGCAGCCCCGGGTTTGTCCCCTCGGTGCCAGCAGCCACGGCAGCCCCAGGGTGGCACGGCAGGACGGGCTGCGCTGCCTTGGGGTGTGGCACGGCCACCCCCGGAGCCCCAGGGCGATGCTGCAGCCCCCCAAAAGGAGCCGGACCCCAAAGCGGGCTCGGCCCAGAGCAGCCCCCGTGGGCTGGGCATGGCACGGGACAGGCACAGGGCAGGGGTGGCACGGGACAAGGATGGCACGGGACAGGCACAGAGCAAGGATGGCATGGAGCAGGATGGCACGGGGTAAGGATGGCACGGGGCAGGCACAGGACAAGGACAGCACGGGACAGCACGGCACGGGGCAGGGGTGGCACGGGGCAGGGTGGCACAGCGTGTCCCCCAGGGACAGCCCCACACACAGGCCCAGGGAGCTGCGCCCTTGCCAGCCCCAGATGTGCCCCCAGAGCCAGCCCGGAGCCCCGGGACAATTCCTGGAATTACGGGCACGGAACTGCTGAGTCAGGAAAGCGCCCGGGCGAGGGACGGGCCCGGCCCGAAAGGGCCCCCCCGGGGTTCCCCCCGCGCCCTTCTCCTCTTCCTCCTCTTCCCCCCTTCCTCCCACATCCGCTCCGGCTGCCGGGCCCGGCGACCCCGGCAGGGACCCCGCACCTCCCGCGGGTCCGGGCCGGGGGTTCCCGGGGGGGTCACCCTGAGGGTCCCGGGATGGCCCCGTCCCCACCGGGGCTCCGGGCAGCTCCCGGCAGCTCCGGCCGTGCGGCCGCTCGGGGGGAAACGGCGGAGCGGCTGCTCCGGTGCCCAGCGGGAGCGGGGAGAGGACGGGAGAGCCCCGGAAAGGTCCCGGGGAGGGCTCCCGGAGCGGGGGTACCTGCTCATCCCGCTGGGGCCGCTGCTGCTGCGGTCACCGTCGGCTCCGGGTCACCGCGTCCTGCCCAGAAGAGGCAGGGGAGAGGAGGAGGCTCGGCCGGGAACGGGAACGGGAACGGGAACGGGGACGGGGACGGGGACAGGGATGGGGACTGGGGACAGGGAACGGAGAATGGAGACAGGGATGGGGATGGGGATGGGGATGGGGAGCGGCGGTGCCCCGGGGGTCACCCCGCCCGGGCCGGAGCCCCCCCGGGCCGGCCTGCGGGTAAACCCGGGGAGGAGGAGAGGCCGCGGGGCGGGGGCGGCCGCGCCGGTCCCTCCCGTCGGGGCTGCGCTCACGGGAGCCGCTCGCAGAGGGAAAATTTGGAATGTGCTCAGGAGTCAAGCGGGGCTCCAACCACCCGTTATCCCCCGCTGTAACGGAGCCCACCGACGGGCAGAGACAGCCCCGGCCCGGGAGAAAGCGCGGCCGCCGCTCGGAGGGGCAGAGCCGGGGCGCGGGGCCGAGCTCCGGCTCCACGTCCCCCCCGTGCGGCCGCCCGGGGCCGGTCCCGCCGGCGCTGCCCGGGGCGGGGGCACCGGGGCCGTTCCCCGGCCGCCTGACCTGGGGCACCGCCGTGACCCTGCGGGCACCAGCCGCGCCGGGGTGCCCGGGCACAGCGGAGCGCACGCAGCTGGGCCCAGCCCGGTGCTCACGCCGATGGGCACACTCGCCCGCGTGCCCGCAGGGCCCCGAGTCTGCCCCGTTGTCCCCAAGCTCCTCACGTCCCCGGCCTGGCCCCGCGGGACCCGCAGCCCTCCCGGGGCCGCCTCGTGGCACCGAGCCCCGGTGAAACGGCGGAAACGGAACCAAGCGGCGGCCCGGGCTGGGCGGCGGGGCCCGGCTCCCGCTCCCGGTGCTCCGATTTCGGGAGGGAGGCAGAGATCCGCCCCGGCCCCCGCTGCCCGCGCTCGGCCTGTTACACACCCACACCTATACAGACAGAAAATACAGAATATATGGAATGTACTGAATGTACAGAATATATGGAACATATGGAATATACGGGGTATCTGCGCTGGAAGGAACGGCGGCGCCTGCGGAAATGCCAACCCGCCAGCACCGGGGGCTCCCCGGGAGCAGCGGGGCTCTCTGCCCCTCACCGGGCACCCCCAGCGCTGGGTAGCCCTTGGCCGGAGTCCCCCAAACCGCCGGCGGCGGCCGCAGCACCGCGGGGAGCTAGCGGAGCCTCCTCCCGCCGCCACCGGGCACCGGGGACCGGGCACGGCCCCGCCGCTCTCCGTGGTGCTGAACGGCGGCCGCGCCGCGCCCGGGGCCGTGCGGGGTCGTGCCTCCTCCGTCCTTCTCTCACGGAGCTGCCGCTAATTAATTACCATTATTGTGCCCATTAATTATTGTCGTTACCGTTCCCGGTGCTGCGCGGCACGGCCGAACGCGGACAGCGGGGACACGCTGCCAGATCGGTGCCAAATTACCGACCCGTCCTCCCGCACAGCCCCGGCGCCGCTGCCCGCCATCCTCCCAGCTCCGCAGCACGCGTGGGCCGAGCGCCGCCGTTACCTCCGAACCGGGGCTCCCAAATTCCGCCCCGCGCGGGCCCCGTCGTGCCCGCGGCTCCCGCTGCCCGCGGCTGGCTCCCGTTTGCCCAAAGGGCAAAACCCCAGCACCGAGCGCGGCTCCGCCGGGGGAGCGAACGGCACCGGCGGAGCTTCGCCGCCGCCCCGGGAGCCGCTCCGGCCCGGGCCCGGTACCGGGAGGGGCCGCTCCGGGCAGCGGGGGGGCCGCCGGTGCCGCTCTCGCAGCTCGGGCACCGCCGGGCCGGGAAGTTGCCGCCGCTCCCGGTAACGCCACCAAACTGCGGGTCCCGCACCTGCCACGCATCCCTGCGGTGCTGCCGGCCGCGTCCCGCTGGGGAGGAGCTGGGGGAGAGCTCCGTTACCTCCGCCTCGCCGGTGTCGGTGCCCGCCAGGCCGCCCGGCGGTGCCCACCTGGAGGGAAAGAGAGGAGACGCGTCAGGAGGAGCCACCGCCATCGCTCCAACTTGGAGCAACTTTCCCGGCGAGGCCGGCGGCGGGGCGGGGGCCGGGCGGCGCCGGAGCCCCTGCCCGGCCGGCCGGGGCCGCTCCCGGTGGCGGGCAGGCCGTGGGTGCCCGCGGCCGGTGCCATCCCCGCGCGGGGTGGGCACAGCCCAGGCCGGCCCTGGGCACGGCCTCTGCTGCGGGGACATCCAGGGCACCCCCGGGAGGGGCAGCCGCACCGCTGGGGCCTGTCCGTCTGTCCGGCTGGCTGTCTGTACCAGCTCCCCGCTCCCCGGAGCCTCCCGCGCACCGCAGCCTCGCACCGGGCGCTCCCCGGGCACCGGAGCCGCTCTCCCGCCCGGCCCGGTTCCCCTCCAAAGCGGATTTTCCCGCTGTTTATTTCCCTCCCCGCTTTTTCTCCCACCGAGATTTTTTTTTCCCCCCACCCCGTCTTTTTCTTTTCCTTTTCCCGCCCCAATTTTTTGCTTCTCTCTAATTTTTTCCCCCCTCCGCTCGTTTGCCTCCAACGTCGCTGGGAATTATTTGCATTTAAAATCCAACGACTCCTTTCCCTCCGCGTCGCTTCGCAGCTCGATTCCGCCAGCACGGGAGAGGCGGGGGAGAGATCCCAAGGAAAAGGGGTCCCCAAAGCCCCCGGCAAATTCCCCCGAATTCCTGCTCAGCTGAAAATATCGATGTGGGGGAAAACCAAAGATTGAACAGAATTTAATGATTTTCCTCCCGCAGCCGCTGTCACCCAAAGGTGCTGTGGCAACAAAGAGCGGGATGGCGTTTGACGCTCGTATTTTTGGCCTAAAAATTTGCGAAAATATTCCCCCAAAGCCCCGAACGCTTCGCAAAAGATTGATGCGCCTCAAACCCGCCACATCCTGCCCTGCGAAGCGCTTCCGAGGAAAATCTGATTTTCCATTTCCCCCCGCCGGAGAACGCACACGCGCGGCACCCGCGGAACCCGCGAGCGAGGGAAGGGCTGGGAATCGAACGAGCATTCCCAGTCCGAATGGGAATCGAACGAGCATTCCCAGTCCGAATGGGAATCGAACGAGCATTCCCAGTCCGAGCTGGGAGCCCGGCGGCTTCCCCGTCCCCGTGCGCGGCGCGGATTCCCCGGCTCGGGGGAGTCCCCGCCGTGCCCGCTCGGGCAGAGCTGGGCACAGAAGCAACCCCCAAATACTTTTTTTTTTCAAAGGGAAAAATAGCAATAAACCAAGAGAATTAATTATTTTTTCTTTCTTTCGCCAGAAATGCCGAATTTAACCCCGGCCTTTTGCATGGGGATTTTTTTTCCCTTGTGTTCTTTTTTTTTTTTTCCTTTTTTTCATTTTTTTGTTGTTGTTTTTACAACCTCGCACCAACGCAGGGATGGAAGGGAATGCCCACACAACACCCCAACCTCACACAGCACCCCCACGCCCCTTTCTCCCTTTCTCCCCTGCTCTCCTTTTTTTTTTTTAACCCCAAATCCTTTCCCTGGAAAATAATAATTCAAAAATAATAAAAATAGCTGCACACACCGAAACTTCGCTCCGGCAGCCCCTTACCTCGGGCACCGGGCAGGGCAAGGCAGTCGCTCCGACCGGCCCCGGGGCTCTAAACCCCGGGGGTGGCTTTTGTGAGTTTGCCGGAGTTTCCCCGGGCTGTCCCCTTTTGTGTCCCATTGCCATCTAGAGGCCCCGATTAATTAATTTCACACCGAAGCTCGGGAGAAAATTTTCCCACAAAACAAGTGAGCGAGGAGATGTGAAACTCCAAAGAAAAGGAGTCAACATCAAGTTCAACAGCATGCGGGGAAAGGCCCATTTCCATCACAATCGCGTCTGAGCGGGGGCCGGGCGGGGGGCGGCGGGCGGCGGCCCCCGCGCCCCCTCCGCGCGTTCCCAGGCTCGGAACAATCGCGCTCTGTTTGCCTCGCACATGCCGGCGTTTGGGCACGGAGGCTGCCTTGGGATAACAGGAATAATGAGGGGAGGGGGCTGGGAGCGGGGGCAGCGCGCCCGGGCCGTGCCCGGTACCGACCTGTTGAGCCGCGGCCGGCCGCGCCCGCGGGGCCCGGCGGGGGACAGGCACAGAGCAAGGAT